CCGCATTTTAGCATAAGAAAAATACTAGTTCCAGCAGGGAGAGCGTGTTGCCTTGCGGAGGGTCATGAGTTTCTGTCCGGGACCGATCAACATCCAAGATTAAACAAAAAATTAATTCTTAGGTGGAAATGTCAATTTTCGAATTTTTCTGTCACAAAACAAAAAAGCTCTTAATAAAAATTCTTCAGCCATGCGGAGACTGCTTAGAGCGAACTTTAGGTTCCTCCATTTATTGGATGAATTGATAAATAAAATTTACAATTTTAATTTTGTTGAAATTAGTGTTTTTTTATTTTTAATGTGATCTTATTTAGTAATTGAGTGCCAGTGTGAACAGTGTTTTAATTCATTATAAGTAAGCGCTATCAAAATCTGTTCAATATCAACTGCTTACATTGAAAAAGGCCTGATTATTTGGCCTAGTCTAAGGAACTAGTGTTTAGAGTGATTTTTCAATAGTTTTTTCACTGCTGGGACTGACTTAGAGCTTGTATATATATATAAATATTTTTTTTTTATTTATTTATCCCACCCCTGTCGATTAAAAGCCAACAAAGCAATAAAGATCACTGCAACTAAAATCACTGTATCGATTTTATTTTATTTTAATTAAAATTTAAGGGTTGTTGTGCTGGTTGTTAATTGAATTCTTGCATTTAAAAACATCCTGTAACTTCAGTTAAAATTAAAAAGCAAGATCCTTATCAAACATATTCGCTGTACCCCTCCATTGTGACTTTATAACAGTCAAGCAGGATTTGAGTAGTAACAAAAAAACAAAAAACAAAAATATATATATATCTTCCTCTTTTCATCTCTACGCTTCAGTGTGTCTTTCGCATGCTTTTAAAATGTATGCATAAATAATATAATTTTTAAATTTATAATTTGGTGTAGCTCTTCCATAGCCAGCCGTCCACTGCGTTAATCATCCCTTTTCGCTCTCATTTTTTTGAACTCTCCACACGTGCTTAATCAATTCTAAATGGCATCCTTCTGTCCGTCCTTCTGTGGCAATATTTCTTTAATTTTACTTTCATTTAATGGTGCAAATTTAATTTGTGGTTTGTTTAGTGCCACTGCAACCGCGCAGTTGGGGCACAAGTTATAATTCATGATTTGAGGCACATATGCTCTGTATTGCCTAAACAATATGGACATTTTGTTCGATTGTAAGCGTTTAATTAACATTAATTGTATTGTTTGTTAATAGATTATCAGACAGCTCACTAAGGCCGGCAGCTGTGGTGTGACTGAGGCTTAACGATCGATTATGCGATTATGTGAATAGTTTTGGTTTCTCTTTTCTCTTCATTTATTTTATTCAAGTATGATTGGGTTGCCCATAAAGTAATTGCGGATTTTTTAAAAGAAAGTAAATGAATTTTTAATAAAACTTAGAATGAACTTTAATCAAATATATAATTGCCATTTTGTTCGATAACCTTTTGCCATCTTCCTGGCAAATTTAGTATTCCACGTTCATAGAACTTCTGGCCTTTATCTGCAAAAAACTGAACCAAGTGCAATTTTATAGCCTCATCATTGCCGAAAGTTTTACCATTTATGGAGTTCTGCAAAGATCGAAATAAATGGTAGTCTGATGGTGCAAGGTCTGGGCTATATGGTGGATGCACCAAAAGTTCCCAGCCAAGCTCACTCAGTTTTTAGCGGGTGACCAAAGATGTGTGCGGTCTAGCGTTGTCCTAATGGAATATGACACCTTTACGATTGACCAATTCTGGTTGCTTCTCCTTGATGGCTGTATTCAATTTGTCCAATTGTTGACAGTTAACATCCGAATTAATCGTTTGGTTCCTTGGAAGCAGCTCAAAATATACGACACCCTTCCAATCTCACCAAACAGACAGCATAACCTTCTTTTGGTGGATATCAGCCTTTGAAGTGGTTTGAGCTGGATCACCGTGCTTGGACCATGATCGTTTTCGGCTAACGTTGTTGTAAACAATCCATTTTCATCTCCAGTTATGATTCGTTTTAAAAACGGATCGAATTCATTGCGTTTAAGGTGCATATCACAAGCGTTGATTCGGTGTGTTAAATGAATTTCTTTCAATACATGTGGTACCCAAATATCAAGCTTTTTCACCAGTCCAAGACTTCTTATGTGATAATGAACGGTTGATTTTGGTATATTTAACTTCTCTCCTATCTCACGCTCAGTTACATGACGATCCAATTCGATTAATGCTTTGATTTGGTCATCATCAACTTCATTTGGCCGACCTGAACGTGGCTCATCTTTAAGTGAAAAATCTCCTGAACGGATTTTGCGAAATCAATTTTGACACTGTCTTCCTTTTAAGGCTTCATCACCATACACATCTCGTAACTTTTTAGCAACCTGCTCCGCGTTTTTTCCTTTACGGAAATAATAAAGTAAAATATGACGAAAATGCTCCTTTGTGGGCTCCATATTAAAATTGACGCCAAACAAACAAATGTAAACAAAATTTCGCGCACTTTTTTTCTAAAGCAAGCTAAAAGTAACAGCTGATAACTGACAGAAGAAAGAATGCAATTACAGAGTCACAAGCCCTTGTCAACGCCGACTATATGAAAAATCCGCAATTACTTTTTGGGCAACCCAATATATAACGTACATTAAGACCACAAAGTTTCATGAATTCGTTCCAACGGGAAAGACGGTCAATAAAAGGTATTATTTGGGCGTTTGTGCGAAAACATCCGTCGAAAACCAAAGACCAAATACTAATTCAATACCATAGATCAACTACCGTATTCACCGAATTTGGCTCCATCTGACTTTTTTGTTTCCAAAACTCAATTTACCACTCCGTGGAACCCGTTTCGACGCGATTGAGGCCGTAAAAGAGAATTCGCAGAGGGAATTGTGGTCGACTGATTTCAACAGCTGCTGCAAACAAACTGGCTAACAGATCGTGCCCGTTTATGGCATAGTAATTAAGGACAATGCTATCAACTTACCAAAAAGAAAGTGCTGAGAAATATTCAGCGTGGGCTGTTTAAATGACAATTTCCGGAAACTTTCTGGCCTTGATGAAACTCAGAAAATGTTAAGCAATAACTTGATATACGAGAAGTGAACGAGCTAGGAGGTAATAATACATTCGTTTTTGGGCCCTGGTTGAACAGATTGCTGGGCTACAGCTCACTAAGGCCGCCAATCCAATAGTCTTCACTCGATAGTCCCTATTTACCGAGATAAGCTTTCCTGGCCATCTTAAGTTAACATATCCTTCTTTATAGCATAGCTCTTATTAGTGTTGACAGGTATGCTCAGACCCTACAATGATGGCAAGTGTAGAAGAAAAGTGCTGTCCTTGCAAGTTCGTACGTTATCTCGCTTTTTTGTTTTATTATGCCGTAGTTCAAGGAAGACTGATTAGCCAACACGTTAAGTGATCTGCAAAAATTCCTTACCATTTCTTTATTTGTTTGTAACAAATTAGAAGGTTCTTAGTACTGCCTGGCTATTCGAGTGGATATATTACATACATTTCAGTGAGGGCAACATTAAACCTAGGCAATAAGCATGGAAGCCAGTTCTGCTTGAAAAGCGCTACAGTAATGTGGTACTCGAAAAGTCTTAATAATCCTTGGTTCCTTAGAGTAGATGCAACAAGCGACCCTGTATCCTAGTTTTGATTGAATTGGAATTGATCGATTCAGCATATGTTGGTTTCTATTCAAATGATTCACCTTTCAATTCTTCGAGAAGTCAGTTAAGTTAGTGCAGTACTCCGTCATTTCTTGTAGATGGAATCTTTTAATAATATTCTAATATTGTTATGACTGTGGTTTGTCAGATTTCACTCCTCGGCCATTTTTAACGTTAACGCTTCCTTACCATAAATTAGGATGTGTATGAGATATCATTGGGTCTTTGCTGCCCTTTTTTTTGGACTACTTCTTGAACACAACATCAATAAAACGGCCACTTTTTGCTGCGTTTCCAGAACTTTTTCCACCTATTCAGGCGGCATAACGATAACTTTGGCACGAATGTTTGTCTTGAGCTTGTCAATGGTTCAAGGATTGCTGACACTCTTTTTCGTATAACCCCACGAAAAGAAGTTTGGGAGAGTCAAATCTGTAGATTTGGGCGGCCAGTCAATGTCACCTCTTTTCATTGCCGAACCTTTGATTTGTAGTGAAACATGGCGTATCGCCTTGCTATAATCAGCAACCAGCAAGAGCTTTTTTTACGCATTTTGCGGACAGACTTAAAGACCCTACATCCACCGGGAAATGGAAGCCAGTTCTGCTTGACATCCACCGGGAAATGGGTCTTAACGGTCATCGAATTTATTTCCAAAACTCAGATGTAAGCCATTCGAGCGGCTGTTTAGTACTGAGACACGATTCAACTTGTTCAGTTTCTCAATATAAAGCGTCAATATTTGACGTTTCCACCTTAAGAGATGGCGCACCGTCTTTTTCATTGAAAATTAGTGATACCCAGATGAAGATACTGCAAACCGGTGCGTCACCTGTGCCCTACATTCACAGCGAAACATCTATGGGTTCGGCTAAGGTGTGTTTATGCTCTGTAAGCAATATCTGCTAGGGTGCAACTGTAGGTATCATCCTTGCAGCCATTTACCGGATGCTGAAATTTATCAGAAAGTGAGTAGTTGACCAAGCGATTTCATTCGTAACCGCCGTAAAGGCCGAGTTACTGACAGGCTCTAAATGTCATTCATAAATGATTTGTAAGCACCTTTATTAAATCACCTACAGGACAACGTTGCCTACGAATCTAGACTCGACACCGACTTACCTGACTTATTTCCTGCATCCGTCACTTATGACAGTAACCCTCTCTTTGCTTGCCTTCTTAAATCAATTTGTCTAACATTCTTCTTTTCTGATACCGTCAAGGCAGCACATTTCCTGGACTATCTATAAGCTCTATGATCTCGACCCCTAGCCTGCTCCTTGTGGAGATTGAGAAGGCCGCTAAAACAACAAGAACTTCTTTGTATTGTATTATATTCCTAGTACCTCGTTTATTACCAGCAAGTTTTACACACCTTAAGTATAGACCCTCTTATGGCATACGCTAATCAAATTCCAATATTCATGTTTCAAAAACTTATTGACTTCCTCTCTTCAACATCTTCCATTTTTTTATTTTATGATATTTTTAACAATTCGTTTTAGAATATTTATATGATATTTAGCCTCATATTTAGGCTCTTAACACATTTAGAACTATATCTATCTATACATACATCGGACCTCACCACAGGAGACCACTTCATAACATAAGTACATATATTCTTACATACTAAGCACTCAGATCGTCTTTGAAAATCTCATATCTCCACTACATAACGACTGCTGCCGGACGAACTGATCGAATAGTAGCTGTTTTCTGCAAAGAAATGGTAGAAATCTAAATAAAATTACATCAACTCCGAATAAAAATGCCCATACGCACCATCATCGCTATCGAAAGATAAGAATTTTTCGTCTTCCCGTGTCATTGAACGTCGACTACGTTCGGCACTTCTCAAGTTCTGCAGCTCCTGTGGTCTACGTTCTGGTATTGGCGTGGTTTCGGTCGAACCAATCAAGCTGGAGGGATACTCTAGCGGCGAGCCATATTCAGAGCTTGCACAACTCAAATCCAAATTAGAATTGTTATCGAAGTTTAGCGTTATACGCGGTAAATCACTGTACACTTTCGGTTGATTACCGTTACCCGAGTTTTTACGATTTGTTGGTGTCGTGTTCTTTTCTTCCAATTTTGCGCTCGCTTTTTGGTGTTTAGTCACCGGATTTGCACGAGTTAATAAGTTCTCTACGTCGGATTCTAACGACAACGTACGCGGCGTATTCGTTGGTGTTGGCGTGATATCGCGCTCTCTTTCAGAGTTCGCGGCTTTTTCTTGCTCACTTTCTTCGTCTTCCTCCAGATCATCTTCATCGTCTGTGTATTCCTCGGACTCGTCGCGTGTCAAACGTCTGCGTATGACGCGCGGTCGTTGTGTGACTTTGGATTGTGGTGTCTCGAAACGTGAAATGAGCTTGTTCACTTTGCCCACGTCGGATGGCTTCACTTGCTCGTTGTATGCCAGGCGTAAGGATGAGGTCTTTACCAGTGGCTTAGCGATACGTGTCATAGACGGTGTACGATCGGGTATACGCGGTGGTGGCTTAGCTGGTGGCACTGGTGGTTTCGTATTAGGCACTGGCGGTGATTCTTCAATTGATTTGGCTGCAAGTAGCATTGGTTTCCGTAGTGGCAACGGTGGTGGTGGCGGCGACATAGAAGGCGGTGGCGATGGCGTCGCGGACGGTGGTCTATCATCTTCATCTTCATCGTCATCAACGTCGTCGTCGTCGCCGTCGTCGCCGTCGTCGTTATCTCCAGCTCTTACTTCGAAATACTTTTCTTCATTTAGCTGCTTTCGCTCTTCCTCATCTACATTTGCAATTAAACTTTCATTTTCACTTTCACAAACAGGGCGCACGGTATCTTCTGTTAATTTTATTTCCTCTTTGGATACCACATTTTCTTGCATCTCTTCATATTCTTCACGTATGACACTCACCGAAATCCTTGTCACACGCGAGGAATTGTCATCGTCGGCGGCAAATGGCTCTTCACTGCTATCCTTCTCAAACGACGAATCTATATTCTTCTGCGGTACTCTAAGTATGGGCTCATCACGCAGCTCCTCCTCGAAGTCATCGAATGCTGCCCTAGCACCGCCTTTACGTACACTCGCTTCGAATATATCGATACTTTTGGTTTTGTAGAGCTTTTCCTCGCAGTAGGCATGTTGGTGCACTTTCCACGGTTCCTCATGCTCATCGATACTGTTGAGTGCCACCCCTGAGTTCGCTTCCACTGAACCTTCTTTGTTCTGTTGACCAAGCTTTTTATTGCGAGTGTTCTCAGGTATCCAAGAGTCTGAGTCGGAATTGGAATTGGAATCCATGGACATTTTACGTGTGTGACCACGTGGCGCTGGTAGTATGGCCTCTGCCGACAGACGTCTCTGACTAGGTGGCGTTATTTCGAGGAAAGTTGATATAATTTCATTATTTGGTATCCACTCTGCGCGACTACTGCCGGGACTTGGCGAACGGCTCCGTCTGGGTGGTTTTACGTTCTGCAAGTCGTCGTGTATTTCCTCAATGATGGGCGTGTTGGGCGTTGATGGCGCCGGCCGTGTTACTGCTATAATAAGTGTCGACTCAAATTGATCCGAGTTATCTTGGTGTATGAGTACACGTGGAAATTCGGTGTCCATTTCGGAATCCAGCGAGTCGGTGAGTAAGTTCTTTGTAGTCCATAGTGCTCGCGTATGTTGTATGTGTTCGCCATTGTAGTCGTATTCGTGGCGTGTGGTCTCGAAACTTTCGGCACGCGGCTCATCTGTTGGCTGCAGTCCTTGATGTTCTTCTTCCGAGTCACTTGGTGTATCACGTGCTGCCGCACGTCTTGCAGCGGTACGTGGTCGAACATAAACCGTACGTTCGTCCTCTGACTCCTCATCAGCGCGAGCAGCTTCCATATCTGCTCGTCTGCCAACAGCATTCTGGGTTGTAGCACCCTCGTCCTTTTCGAGATTCTCTTGCGACTTATGAAAGAACTTTATTTGTTGCATCTTCTCATTCATCTTTTTGAAAGTCTGCTTGCGTGCCTGCTCGAAGCGCGCTTCAAAGTTCACCGTCTTACGGGAGCTTGCATCTTTGGATTTACTGGTTGTGGTCGCTGCTGGTGTGTTGCGACCTTCTTCATCTTCAGTGCCATCGAGATCATCTGTAGAGCTTGCACGCTTACGTTGTCGCATATTTCGTAGCTTCTTCATGAGTGTGTCCGAACGCTTGCCCTCTTCAGCGACACCATGCTCAGGTGTGGTGTCATCACCCGTCTGTGTTTCGGTTTCATTCGGTCTGCGCTTAAAACTCTTCTTCCAAGTTTGCAGTTTATTTGTAATAACTGCGCGTATAGGTGAACGCGGTTCTTCGGTGTTCTTTGGTGTTGTTTCATCTAAATTCTCGGTGGACGCGTCATGTGAAGCGAATCGCCGTAGACGTGCGGCCAACTTCTCCGTACGACTAATGTGTTTAGTCTCTTGTTTATTCGGCGTGTCATCGCCATCTGTTTCGTCTGCTTTAATGCCGCTACCATCAGCTTCGTGTGCGCGCCTTATTGATTTCGAGAAACGTTTAATATTCTGTTTTAACGCACTAAGGGGATTATGCTCATTCTCTGTTGTGACTGGTGCCTCCAATTTTTCCTCGGATTGTTGCGGAGAGAGCGGCGCACGACGTCGCTTGCGTTCGGCCGTTTGCTCAGGTGTTCCCTCGCTGCTCTTGCTCATGCGACGCAATTTGTTTAATGCACCTCTTTTTACGGGCTCTTGGGTCATGCTCTCAGGAGAACTTTGTTCCATTTTCGACTTACGCTGCTGTTGGGACACACCTCTCGGCGCTGGTACTTCTTCATCCTCGTCCAATTCGTTATTACTCTCATAGTCTAAATGTTGTTCGAGCGGTGGATTGCGTACGCGCGCGAAACGCGTTGATGCTATGCCTGGCTTACGTGGTGGAGGCGTCACTTCCATGCCACTTTCGTCTTCGCTCTGCTCACGCACTTTACGTGCATGCGTATCCACCGCGTCTTCAGGCGCTTCTTCTGAACTCATGCTCCGCTTACTATTATCTGTGTCCTGTCGCGAAACTTTGAAATTGAAACGATAATTATCAGCAATTTTACGATCACGTCTCTCTTGTTCGGCCTGCTCATACGCACGTTCCTCATTATAACGCTCGACATAGTGATCCACTTGTATGACGTCCTTACGCACCACCGTTTTCTTAGCGAATATGTGACTCAAGCGAAATTCGCTGATATCCTTATAACCCTTTTGCAATTTTTCGGTTAGCGACATTTTTACTACTGCCTCCTCGCCGCCGCCATCATTCATTGGCGTATGTATCGGACTGATGGGACGTGAGAGACGTCCGGGTGCCTGAAATTGACGCGGTGATGGATAATCATCATCCACGCTACAGGCACTGCGGTATGTGCCGCGTTGTGAATCGCCTCGCTGTTGCCGCTGCTGGTGTTGCTGCATCAGTGACGAGACGGTCGAGATGTGACACGGTGAGTGATTGATAAAATCAGCAGGTGGTATGGGCGGCGGCAGTGGCGGCTGACGACTCAATGTCAAATGTACGCCAGGCTGCTGGAGTTGCTGATCCTTCGCCGTTGCGCCCTTACTACTGCCGCTGCGACTTAGGTCCTCACGCGAACGACTGAATATGCGACGTGAGCGCAATTTTGGTAATGACTTTGGCAATTTAATTTGCGGCATCGCTGGTAATGAGGGTATGCGTGCTGAAAAGCGGTCGAAAGAAAGCGAATTAATTACTTAATCGATGGATTTATATATAAGCGGGTAGGTTTTAGTGTGGGAGCAGACGGATGCGAGGTGGAATCAAAACAAATGGCTGACGTTTGCGAAAAAAACTTGCAATGAAGTATTGATTTTCAGTGGCATTGAAAGACACTCGACGTGGCAGCCGACACTGGCGTGCCACATAACGCACTGCAATTTTTCTGTCAAACTTATTTACTAGCATACATACATACCTCGTAGGCTGCTAATATCGATGTTCTGGCATAAATTCTTCAAATCCATGTTGGCAATTTGAACTAAAAATCAATCCGAAAAATTAATCCTTGATTGCGTAGTGAAAAAAAATATATATATTCCTCGGTTCACACTCACTTCAGCGTGCCACGTTCCTTGTATGCCAATCAAACTTCTACGACAAATCACTAGCGACAGCAAGACTTTCTATTTTTCACCAATTCTTTAATTGAAATTATTTTATTTCATAATGTAAAAAATTTCCAACCGCTTCTCAACTGCCAGGTAGTAGATCTTTGCTGCCGTTCTGATTCGTTTCTGTGCGTGTTTTTTTCGGCACACTATTCGAGCGAGGTTTCTTCATCGTGGCGGCGGCTGTGTTTTCAAAGAGCGCATGCTTGTTGTGCCAACCCTTTGCCATCTTGGCTTTCTTCTGTCATTTAGACTCTTGGTTTTACTCTACTTTTCTACTTTTCTTTTCAAGTGCTAATTGAATTAACATGTGCAATTTTTTCCCACATTCCACGTTCGAGAATTCTTTGTTTGTGAAATATACAGATTTTCGTTTTTTAATCTTCGCTTTTTTCTTTTAATTTCTCGCTTTCGCTTTTTCTTGTTTAACTTGACTTCGTTGTCTATTAATAGGTGATTGCTTTTCGTTTTTGCATTTCTTCATATTTCTATTTTTGTTTACTGCATTTTTTACAATGCCTCCTCCTTTTCTTCCGATTTTCCAGACCCTTTCATCTTTTATAGAGCAGGCGGCACTCAAAGCTTACTGTGCTTACTTCTTAACCACTCGGGCAGTATTAATGTGGGCTTTTGTTTAGTGAAAATTTATGGGGGCTTGGCTGCTTTGAGGCTTTTTGGGCGTAGCTGGTGAGCACCAGCGCCTAAGTTTTGATCATAATAAACGATAAGTTAAAAACTAGTAAGATGAAATATAAGGTTGTCAAATATCTCCCTTCCGCTTTTTTGCTCTTCATTCAATGCTTTATAAAAAGTGTTACAGTGATCGGATTTAGTTAAAATATGCGCCGTTTTGTTCGATGATCTGTTTCCATCTAGACGGCAACTTCATAATACCTTCCTCGTAGAAGCCCCCTCCTTATTTGCGAAGAATTCGGACAGCCACTTTTCACGAACCTCTTTTGAGTTCAACTTCACACCACCAAGGGCATTCACCATGGACAGGAACAGGTGGTAATCACTTGGCACTACGTCCGGGCTATATGGTGGATGTGATAAAACCTCCCATCCGAGCTCCCGTAGCTTCTGACGAGTCATCAACGAAGTGTGTGGTCTGGCGTTGTCCTGGTGGAACACTACAACCTTCCTGTTGGCCAATTCTGGACGCTTCTGGTCGATCGCCTGCTTCAAGCGGTCCAGTTGTTCGCAGTAGATGGCAGAATTAAGCGTCTGGCCATATCGGAGCAGCTCATAGTGGATGATTCCCTTCCAATCCCACCAAACACACAACAAAACCTTCCTGGCCGTCAATCCCGGCTTGGCCACTATTTGGGACGATTCACAGGCCTTCGACCACGACCGTTTTCGCTTGATATTGTCGTATGTGATGCATTTTTCGTCGCCAGTCAAGAATGGGTCGAGTTCGTTCCGTTTCAGCAGCATATCGCAGGCGTTGATTCGGTCCAGAAGGTTTTTTTGCATCAAATTATGCGGCACCCAAACATTAAACCTTTTTTTTTTGTATCCAGCCTTCTGCAGATGGTTCAAAACGGTTTGGTGACTAACTCCCATCTCCTGGGCGATGTCACGAGATGCCATATGCCGGTCTAACTCAATGTATTCCATGATTTGATCGGTATTTGTCGTCACAGGTCTTCCGCCGGCTGGCTTATCCGTGGCGTCGTTTTCACCGACTCTGAATCGTCGAAACCATTCCTCCGCGGTTTGAAGTGATAGAGTACCATCCCCCAAAACACCAATAATCTCACGGAACGTTTCTAGCGGATTTGCCTTTAACGAAGGAAAACTTTAAAATAGTGCGAATTTCGGCGTTAGTGAACTCCATGTTTACACGTCTATAACTGTTGAACGCAATATCCAAACTAATCATGCATAGCGTTGTTTTGTAGGTTATGTCAAGACCTTTCAAATTATGCTCTGTAGAGCTTTGTACATAGTCGCGAAATTCAAAAGACAAAAAAGCGGAAGGGAGATATTTGACAACCTAATATTAGATCGATACAGGTCTTTACTTGGTAGACTAATACATGAGACAGTCTTACCTTCAGTTGGTCTGCTGTAGATAGTAGTTTTAGTTAATGATAGTAGGTTTAGATGAAGCATTTCGAAATTCAGCCCGACATTCCGTACCGTATTAGCTTTCTTTCCCACATTGTCGAAAACCAAATGTTTTTAATAGTGGCCGTCTTATATCGAGTTGTGTTCCAGTGTGCAGAAGTGCAAGTCGAGTAGAAAACGGCTGGTTGTCTGCTCTGATTGCAGCTTATCGGTTCGACGTCGAATGTGGGTCGACGGGCGTTCTTTGCTGCACAACGGCTGGTACGTAACTTCACTTCGGCAGGATAGGGTTCCGAGTTGATTTTGGGTTCTTGAAACGTACGCACATCTGAAGCACTGAAAACACAGCTTTCGGTTATCAAATGATGGTTAATTTGATCGCACGATATTCGGTCTCTTCACTGCCATTTGGTTTGGTTAATTCTTTGTGCTACAGGCAACTACAACTATGTTGTAGCTTTCGCAAATCGCGAAGGGGATTAGCCACAATACTTTGGGATATGTTTCGTTATATTTGGTCACATTATCCGTCTATTCCGTCGAAAAATGAGCAAAAATCAACAACATTTTGAAGCACTTCGCTTTGATGCGGATTATGGAGAGACGTTCGTTCATCCGTGAATCAAAGTTGCGCTCCTTTTTATGGCGCTTTAGTATATGTCCCACGGACCTATTTGTTTCCAAACTTTTCCCATTCATCCGAATTATTTGACAGTGGTCAATGGTACTAAACCGGGGGACTTAAAAAAGTATCCAATTAGGGTGTCTAATGCGAGTCGTTGAGGTTTTCGTTTCCCTGGAGCTGGTTTTTACACACAACTTTGCTGCTTGAGTGGGTAGGTGAATTACGACGATACATCCGCTCGCCTCAAAACCGATGTCTACTCACAGTCACACCACTGATGAACAAACGCTGCATTTAGACTTAAGCGCGTACCTCTAAACCTAATATGTCGGAGTGACTCCACTAAAGCTCCCCCGTTTTGGGATTGGCATTGGTTGCCGCATTTCGCATAATGGTTGCTCACTTTTCTAGGGTGAGTCAAGAGCACGCAAGAGTCAGTAATGTGGTACCGTATGGGGACTGTAGCTGCATATCAAGAAGCAGGGTCCCAATAACACGGTCATAGTACTCTCTATAAATCTAGTTTCCCTCGTCTGGTTTTTTATTATTTCCTCTTCTCTTTCTCATTACTATTTCTTCTATCACAATCCCTCGTGGCTTCAAACGGATAGGTTGCTTAATCATTCTTATCCTAAGCCTCATTTTCCATCCACTTGTCTTTCCGTATGAATTTTATTAAGTCCTTTACTTCAATTTCCCGTCAAGATCTAAATCTTAATATTTTTATATTTTTTGATAAAAAGTTGCTGCAAGGCCTTTTTGATGCTCCCATTGCAGTTCGGGCTTCGGCTTCATAAATAATTTTTTTTCTTCGTTTGTGATGCGTGGTTTTCCATGCGGCAATACTTTTTATGGAATGGGTCTTTTTGACGGCTGTTACTTGATCTATACTAAATTTGGTTGGACATTTTATAATAGACAGACTTACACCGGAAGAGCGTTTGCAAATCGGTCATAATAATAGCATAAATTGGGAATGCTTTAGAGCCTGGAAGACCTTTAGTTCCAACAAGTCGGCACTAGCGCTACATGCCATACAACCAACGAAACAATCATTTTATTGGCGTGAGCTTTGATGCTAAATTCTTGTCATAAGGTTAAAATTTATACGTTTTAGATCTTCTCGGAAATCAGTTGAAAAAATCCCTCGCCTAACACGTTTCCAAGAGCACATCTTGTCGCTAACTTGATGTAAAGAGTAGTTAAATGTTTGAAGGTGATTGAAGAGAATTTTAGGATTTACTTGATTGAATTTAGTGACGTCATCTTCTATTCTTGGCCTTATTAAAAAATAGAAATTTTACGCTAATGAAGTTAGCTATGTTACATAATTATATTTTCCAATTTTAGAAATATAAAAAATATATTTATAATTCACTAAAAGCTTTCTTCTAATAATAATTTTTTCTCTTCTCTTCCTTCTTTCATTTCAGCTCATACGCGCGAACATAATCCAACATACTCAAAATAGTGTTTTGTGCTTAAGTGAATTACATACTCAAATAACGTCTTCCATTTCAAATTTATTTATGTATATGTTTTTGTATTTTTTTTTCAATTTAGGTTTAATTTTCAAATTTATTAAAATTGCATAAGTGTAAAGTTATTCCCAAGGACACACATTCATTTAGTTAGTAGTGCATGGACGAGCAGTGCGAAGCTTAGATGGATGGATTGTATTAGATTCACACATACATATATATATAATATTTGAGTAATACGAATACTTTTATACAATCACATCTACAAATGTCCATGCTCACGTCTGCACTTAGTTATATATTTGAATAGACTGAACATTCCAGACAGACATTGCTTACTCTCTTTCTACAAACCGACTTCGTAGCAGAGCAAGCAAATAAATAAATAAAGACCACAGCAACAAACAAGGAATATCAGAAGAAGTATCCTGCTCGAATTACGTGCGGGATAGAATATAAATATATATAGATATCTACATATACTTCACAGTCACAGCAGTCAGACTAACATCCACAGGATGGGTCGGCTAACACAAATGCTGGCCGTCCTGCTGCTGGTAGCTGCTTTAAGCTCAGCAAATGCAGAGAGTAAAAGTAAGTACATGGCAGAATAATGAATATTTGAATAGATGTAATGCAAAGTAGTGGAGTAGATATACATATATATAAATAATTGAGTATATACAGTAAGTTCGCGGTAAGTTGGATAATAATTGTTAAGGAGAAAGCCGTGTTTGAAGTAAGAATTATCATCCGATTTATGAATATGAAGCACTTTGGCTCAGGACCTTTCGAAATTTGTGTTCTATGAAACTGAAAATCGGTCCTCGAACCCAAGACTTGGAGAAAATATTATATTAGAGCCCAATCCTTACTTTGATTAAGTGGAGATTTCTTTAATATAAATACATTTTTTTCACCGTTGATGTTCGTAGACACCGCCTACGGTTTCTAAATTGTAGTGCCCAAAACGGAGCACAATCTCTCTGTGAGAGGACATCTTTATCGAGAGAGCGACTTGCCTCCAAACCGAAGGCGCTCGAATTATTAAACCAAATGTGTGTGACCCCACTAGAGTTTCTTTTTTTCTCTTAGCTACAACCCTAGGTTCCATAAAGGGTTGTCTACCCATCCCACGCAAGAGGTAGTAATATTTCCAGAATATGCGACAAGGACTGCTTACTGGCACTCACTCACTGTTATGAGCAAAATATAAATCCTATATGTCTATTTTAATCTAAGGATCCCCATTTTGTCAACAAAATTTACTCCCGCTATATCATATCTTTAGCTATAATTTTAGTGGAAAACGAAAGACTTTTTTAATCTCGTAAACAGTCTAGAAGACTAACCGGAAAGTAACAACAGTGATACCTAACCTCCCAATATTACCATTTCCACGATCGAAGTTCCCGCTAACAGCAAGTTTCCGCTGAAAAGTAAAAGTTCAGGGGTTTTAACACTTGTCACGACTTTACACTTCTTGGTTTCTTCTAAAACGACTTAAAATCATTTTCAGAATGTATAGTTTTCGTCAGACTTGTGTAAAATACATCACCTCTAAAGCAACTATAAGTTGTTGGATATCAAAAGAAGCTAAAATTTTACGTCTGGAAATTGTATTTATTAAAATTTCTATATTGAGCTTTCGTCGAATCAAACGTGAGCTCTGTACTCTTGTTCTTCTACTTCTTAATTGAATTGCATCCATCTGATCTTTCCTACGCAGTGGTAGCATTTCTTTTCCCCTGCTTCCATCAGTGCGTACTGCATCAAACACTTTCAGAGATCCACTAAAACTGTGGTAAAATCTATCTCTAATGCCGACTCATCGTTGTTGCTCTTGTATCGTCTTGCTCAACCTCGTCTAGGAGTGGAGCAGGCAAAATTAGTTTTAGTCAATGGGAATCAGAGTTGCTTTAAGTGGGCAACTGATTGTGTCCGCGACAAATGTTAGGTATGCCGAGTTCAAGCCGGGATATGTAGATATTTATTGTACTAGTATGTCCAGGTCTTCAGTTCGAGCTCATCATCTCCTATGGGTGTTATTCGGATTCAGAGTAGTCCATTAACGGGAAGAAGGTTTATAAAGGAAATCTGCTTCTGCTCCATACAGCGGTGAATGATGAACGCCTTAAAGAGCTTGATCTTACTTATGAGAATATCAATAGCTGCTTGTTTTATGACAGTTCACTATCAAATTTATGCGCACGGCACGTGAATGATGAACGCCTTAAAGAGCTTGATCTTACTTAGTAGAGAGAGCACTTATGAGAATAACAATAGCTGCTTGTTTCATGACAGTTCACTGTCAAATTTATGCGCTTCGCTCTCAATACTCCGTAAACTGTCAATTGAGCTTCATACTCTGGTCTGCTTTAAACCTCTTTGGTTTCTTGAATTCCAGGGTCATTAAACCCCATTTTGAACAGACAAGAGTAATGTCTTGCCCTATGGGTGGGTGAGCTTTTAAAATTTTTAATTAGTTTTACCCTCAAACATCATTAATTTCTTTAAAATGTGTCTGTTTGGTGTCTTTCTCGCCTTCCAACCTCAAAATCTCTCTATGAAAAATGTGCCTTTTTCTTGTAATTTCTTGCTGTTTTCTTTCTTTGTCTGCTTGCCCATCAAGTGAAAGTTAGTCATAACATACAATAACTTTTCTCACCTACTGCATGATTTGTTGGAAATGCAAAGAAAAAAAAACGTTAACAAATGTTATTTATTGCGCCTCATCATTGTACCTTCACTTCAGCGCCAAAACTCTTGTATAAGCCAGTCTTCTTGCCTTACCCCACCATAACCGCTGCTGCAGTGGTCGTGTAAACCATATTCAAATGCATGCATTGCATTAAATCATTAAGGTTTCTTGTTGCTGCTGCTGCTGTTGTTGCACTAACGGGAACCTCATTTTACATATTACCCATTTACTCATATGCTAGACTTTCAATTCTTCATAATATGCAGAGTTTACTAACAATCTTTGGTCTTCAGTCAGTCAGTACGTCAAAAGCAAGCATGCAGTGTACCGCCTATTTCATGCTTCATTCATTTCACCGCCATCACATTCATATCATACATATACATAGACGTATGTACTTAAATCTACATGTGGCTTGTCTTGGCTTACTCTCTCTCAAAAAAAAAAAAAAAAAAAAAAAAAAAAAAACCGAAGACAAATGATTGTCCACGATTTTCTTGTAATTTGTGGCATGACGCCATTTTCATTGGAGCTTTGCTTACCTACAACCAAACAACACTTATTCATATACATGTATGTATGTATATATGTATATGATTTCAATTTCCAAACATCTTGTATTTATTAGTCTGCCTGCCATCATTTCTCCACCTCATACCACTCATCTTCCTTCTCTTATGCTCATCTCTTTAGCTCTGTCGCCCTTTGTCTATGCAAAAGTGTAAGCGGTAAATTAATCTATTGTACTGTATATTCAGGTTTTATTCATATATCTATTGTTGTTGTTTTTCAATGCTGTCCTCTGTTGTATCTATGCGCCAGACAGGCGGTATGGAGGTTGTTTTCTGTTCATCTCATGACTTTGCTTCGTTTCATGTTTGACATTCAAAAGGCAGATCGTTTACTACGAAGCAAATGAAAATAATTGAGGAAATTAGTCGAAGAAGAGGTATTATGATATTATTATCCTTCAGTTTTGCAACAACCAATTAAAGTGAGTTTTTGAGAGGTTAAGTTTAGTGTTCTTAAAGTTTTGTATTTCTCCGATGCTTCAACTAAGATTGTGCTAGTCTAATCAATTAATTAAGGCAGCTCGGTACAGGGCGCGCCATAAAAGTTTTCTTTTTTACTACACCCGTATGCAAGAAATGACTCTCTTTACTATTGTTGCAAAAATATGCCGTTTCGTGGATTTTGCAACTCATTGGCCCCCGTCTCGGTGGTAATATACGGTATTTCCCGGCGAATACTGGCCTTGAGCTGAGCTATTGTTTGGGATTTTTCGATGTAAACTTTACTCTTCAAATACCGCCATAAAACGAGTTCCGGCGGTGTCAAGTCGAGTGAGCGTGGCAGGCAGTTTTTCAATATGATGCTTCGGTTGAAGCGCGTCGCGACTAGTGTGTGCTGTGGCTCCTTACTGTTGGAACTAGGATTGTGGCTTGTTATTTTCAGTCATTTCCGGACTGTCACGCAAGATCGCTCTGTAGTGCGCGCCATTGACCATAACGGCGTTGCCATAATCGGTCTGATTATATTTTTGGTCGATATGCTGCAACAAACTCGAAAATCTTACAAGGATTTATGTCGGTCCAAAAGCGGCAGTTTTGCTTATTAACTTCGGCATGCAAAGTGAAATGAGCTTTAACACTCCTTATGATTTTGAACCACAACTCACACTCACCATGGCACCGAATAAGTCTCTATATATGCTAATACTTCAAAATATGGCGGAGCTATTCAAGTTTCAGATGTTATCGCAACAGATGTCGCACCCTGTTGTAGTGGTATTCAAAAAGTTTTCACCCCAAGGCCAATTGAAGCGAGTAACAGGTGGACCATACAATATTTGTGCTTTAAAATTTTTCTAAAAGACATGCATAAAGAGCTTGCCTTTATTGCTCAAATTTCCGTTTAACAATGGAACATCATTTGATTCATTTGACAGTCGCGACTGGGCTTGCTGTAGCCTGTCTATCGACCCAATTTTTTAAAACATTTTTAACGGCTTCCCCTAAAAAGAGTCCAGGGGGCTGAAATGGCTGCATCAGGCCAGTTGACATGAAATTCCAATATGATAACTGCAGTTGTGGTTGAAGACTTCCCATTTTGGAAGTTGATTTTTGTTTTCTTTAAGTGCAAACTTAAATATTTCGTTTACCGCCAACATTCTACTGAAGGTGCCAAGGCTCCAATAAGGCGAAATTCGAAAAGCAAACGGTAGATGGATGGCCCATGATATATTACTTTTGACTCGATTCATGACTTCGTTCAACTTTTTCGTTGATGCGTTCAACATCCATTCAAGGTTTGCTATATGGTGGTACCCAAGTGTGATTTGTCGAATGCTTAAGGGAGGCACTCACAGAGAAAATGGAAAACTGTTTACTACTGTTGGGTACGCGTAGGCACCGCTTACGCGATTATAGCTGAGTATTCACCTGATATTTCCATGAAATCTACCAGCGGCTAATGCATTGAAAACTCTTCAAGCTAATGAGCTAGAAATATCACCTATTCAATGCTATCGTTTAATTCGTACATCTCATCGTTCCATCCCCTTTCCCAAAGTTCATAAATCATTCGCAAAAGCTTTATCTAGAAAACTCCTATCGCCGACCCATCGGATGTCGTCGTTGTTGTTATAACCCCAAAATAATCCCCAAAGTAATCCTTGGCCGGATAAAAATTCCGATTATCCCGCCAGAAGTGAGCCGGTCATGTTAAAAGAAAACAGTATTTTACGAAAAGTAATTGCCACAGAACCATCCGGTAGAAAAAACAGAGAATAGGCCTCAGATAAGCTGTGAATCGCTAATATAGAAGAAGATCCATGAGAGATTAGAGCAAACTGATCAGAGAATTCTTGCTATGGAAGAGATCAGCAGTGACGCAAAGTTGAGAAAGTCATGGCCCGATAGGTTTATAATGACTAATGCTGATGATGATGTAGTGAAGGGCAGGTGGCGGCTAAAAATGTTACTACCCATCGACAAAATTTTCCAGAAATTTTGTTGGGTGCTTAAAAACGGAAAAATGCTCCAAGCAGGAGCAGCGCGGAATCGCAAAATCGTTACAGAATTGATAGAACATTTTTATCTGTCTTTTGGATACAACTACAGAAAAAATCAGTCCGAGGTCACTCTTTTCGAGGATTTTTGAAGGTTTGGCTAGTATATTGACGACGAGCTAGGTTGATCTGTCAGCACAAATATGATAGTGACCATATCATAAGCTCGCCATCAAGAGCGTGGAGATGCTAAAATTTCAGTGCGGTGAGAGATTATTTCTGTATTCTTAAAGTCTATCGTTGCAAAACCCCTGCCTTGAAAGACAACTCTATCAAACTTGATTGCTCCCTAATGAAACTGAGGAGAAGTTAATGGCTCTTCATTTCCCTCGATAAAATGAAAGTGAAATGGAATCGTCTCGATATTTCAATGAATCGTCGAAAACTAAAGTAATTCCTTGATTCGTTAATCGTTTTTCGAATTGACCTATGCCACCTGACTATAGTTGGTTTAGCCTACTTTTCTTCGGTAATTGTTGTGGACATGCAGTTCACATTCTTTTGGCTTTTTCATGCCAACATTTTTAAAATAGATTTGTTTACGCGTTTACCGAGCAGCACTACGTCTATATACATGAAAGTGTGCGTTGGCCGCATTTCCCAACTTAGGGTCTTGTGTCCGCTTGTCTGTGGGCGCTGAATGTGCAAGTTCTATTTGAAATATACACGGCGAGCATCTTGTATATATTACCCAACTGGCGCATTCACACCTTCACTTACGCAACGGAGGGGCAATAAAACTAAAACGTGCGCCGATATTTTTAGAGACACCTGTTGTGTGTGAGTAGTGTAGAAGGGAATGTGCGTAGGATAGCCCGGTAGGAAATTCGATACCAAGTTGTCGATATTGGCCATAAATTAACCCTAGAAGAATTCTTTTTTATTTTATATAATAAAAGGTTAAGTGTCTTCCGTAAGAGAAGGACCTAACATTACGTTGAAAAATTGTCAGATATCCTGTCATTCTTCAGGATTTGTTGTCTCTTAGTTTCATTCCATTAAAAGAAATTTAAGAATGAACCCAAATTTACTCAAAATCGATTCCTAAGTCTGAAAGTTTGCTTATGATCAAAGCTCTCAGTGTGGGTGGCTTCCGACCATTGAATGATGCCCAGAGCATACTCAACTTATGGAGGAAACACCTCTTCAGCCTGTTGAATGGCAGTGAGAATGAAACACCTGGAGACGGCGAACCCTATTCTCATGTTTCAATCCTCGACTGTGAAGAAGTTCGAACCGCAATCGCCCGCTTGAAAAACAACAAAGCAGCCCGGCCGATGGATTGCCGGCCAAGTTAGACGAAGCGGTGGTAAAGAACAAAATATGGTTGGAGGGAAGCATACCCGACGATTTGCGCCTTAGTGTGCTCTGCGGACATGTGAAAGACTTAAGCCTACCGTCAATAAACTGATTGGAATTTTTTAGTGTAAGCACTCTGCAACAACTCGGTATACGAGAACTGTGGGCGTCATTTCAAACTCCCTACGAACAGAAGTTATTGGGTTTCGGAAAGGTTGTAAAAACAGCCGATACGTTGAGGATTGTAAAACATGCTTCTTACCTCGCACCGTTGCGATCGAACACAACGCGTGTGGAATGGGATAGATACCGAGAACTGAAGAGGGAATCAAGACGCATTTGCAGACAAAAAAAAGCAAGAGGTCGTGCTTGAAAATTTTACGAAAGATACTACGAATTACGGAAGGTTTGAAGACCGGAGCATACTCATTTAGGACACAAAGAGATCTCGTGAAGTATGCCGAGGGTGGACTGAATTGTGGAGAGAGCACTTCTCTAGCCTGCTGAATGGCAGTGAAAATGAAATATTCAGAGATGATGAACCCGAAATCCCAATCGATGACGATGGAAAAGCAGTTCCACTACCCGACCATGACGAGGTTCGAATAGAGATTGCCCGCTTAAAGCACAACAAAGTGGTCGGAGCTGACAGCATACCAGCAGAGCTATACAAGCTTGGCGGTGAAGAGCTAACAATGTCCATGCATCAGCTGATTCGCGCGACGATTAGAAGTGTGCTCTGCTCAATCCATACAAAATGATAGCCCCACAGCCCCACGGCAATTGGCTCTTTAATATCGAATATATGGTCCTTTCAAGCGTACTGTCAGCAAACTGATTGGAAGTTAGTGTGGCTTTCGACCTGGTAAATCTACCATTGATCAAGACTTCGCCATTCAGCAAACCTTTGAGAAGACCAGTGAAAAGAGGATCGACACATACCGCCTCTTCGTTGATTTTAAAACAGCCTTCGACAGCATGAAAAGGAGCTGTCTCTACGCCACTATATAGGAATTTGATATCCTCGCAAAACTTATACTACCCAGCCCTAATTGGCGTTAAGCCTCATCAAAAGCTTCGTCACTATCGGAAAGGCCGTCTCCGAAACGGCTTATACCAAACGGGGTAGAAAATAATATGACCTGCAGAGCTGAACAGAGAATATAAAATCTTCTATAAGAGTGTACAGCTGTCGGTGTATGCCGATGATATTAGCATTAATGGCCTCATGAGTTCTGCTTCCTCCAGACTGAATAAAGCAGCGAAGCGAATGGGTCTGGTAGTGAGCGATGGCAAAACGACACAAAAACACACAATCATCGTATTCGCGACTCGGCTTCAATGCTATTGTTGACAGTTATAACTTTGAAGTCCGGATGGATAAGATTACTCCAGTTTTAAAAGTTTCCAATGCAGTTTCCGCTAACGGAAGCAGAAGAAGTAGAGGAAGAACTCCACTCCGTTAGAAAGACCAGGTGGAGAAGGACATGGACTTGTACTTGGTATTTTCAGTTTTCGACAAATAGCGAAAGGGAGGAATAAATGGCGCGCTGTTGTTAATTCGGCTGTAATCGAGCCGTTTAAGAAGAAGAAGAAGAAGTTTCAGGCTCTGGGCAGTAGTTAGTCAGTCATTCAGCTTGCAATGAAAATTTTGAAAATAGCTATACATTTTCTTCTAATTCCCTATAATTTATTTTCCTACAGGGTATCAATAAGCGCCTCTGCACATTTTCGAATGTACTTTCTATTTCGAAATTGTTTTTATTTATTTTTATAAACATGCAGTTTGTTTTTTTTTTGTTTTTTTCGTTTCTTTCGTCACTTCGTTTCGTTGCTTTCATCACTGTTCTTCATGCTCCTCCTTGTTGTTGGGATTTCTGCAATGTGTCGTCGTGATTTCCATAGTTTTATGTCCTCTCGTATAAAATGCACTCATGCATTTTCACTATAAATTCTGAAATGGCTCATTCATGATTTAAGTTGCTTGCTGACTAATGGTTTTATTTTCTATGATTTTTTTTGCTTATATTTTTGTCGCCATCACTTTCACATTCGTTGCTCACGGTGTAGCAAATCCCTGTGTCTGAATTTTTGTTTTATATAAATTATGATTTCACTTAATCACACTGAATCTGTTTTAGTGGTTGTGTTGAAGGCTTTTTATTTTTCATTTCTGTATTGTTTTTCTAATTGGTTTATAAATTATTAGTAGTTTAAATACAAGGATTATGCTCGTTGTGCTTATTTTATGTATTTTTAGAAATTTTTTAATGAATTATATATGTATGTACAACAATTTAGAATTTAAATCAAACGGCAATATGCTCTGATTTTTAGTATTTGTAGATATTTATATACAAAAAATAATTTATATTACCTTTGTTTTTGTCGCTTTTAGTAAATTCACCGCCTCGTATTATAAAACAGCCCCCGACAGATGAGCTACTTTTCAAAGTTGCCGTACAAAATAAGGAAAGTGATAAGCCATTCATCATCGAGTGTGAGGCTGAAGGAAAACCGGATCCAAGGTAAGTGGCAAGCTGAATTTATATATCTGAAATTCAAATTGATATTAAGTTGAGTTTATGTTTGAGTTAAACTTGAGGTTGATTGAGCGCTTAAGAACTTCTTAAATCTTAAGGGGCATGTTTTCATAGTGAAATGTGTTATTATATGTAGATAACTTCATAAAAAAAATGGTATAAAGATGTAAAATATCAACTAGAGAAATATTATTATCCCTAGAGTTTGAGAAAAATTTGAGAATGATGTTGGATATCAACTTGAGAAATATAATGTTCTCTAGTGTGTGAGAAGAATTTGTATTTTGTTAAATTTTTATTCAAATTTGTTTTGTGATGAATGATAAGCATCCATATCAAAATATTAATTTTTTTAATATATATGGATGTAACTACTTACATGCATGTATGGGTCCCTTCTTCGCTACTCAAAGTCTTTCACGAAAATATCAATACGAATGCTTCGACGTATGCCAAAGTTGGATATATAAAGGGCGATTTTTAGCTATAATCTTTTTGGCAACACTGGTTTAAACAGCTGACGCACGTTTCGTGTTTTGTATCACTGTCAAGCATCTTCAGTTTGGTCTATAATTTAACCATGAATCGTCTTACCAGCGAACAAAGGTTGCAGTTCAGCGACGAAGCACATTTTTTGCTTAATGGGTGCGGGAATAAGCAGGACTGTCGATTTTGGAGTGAAGGTCAGCCAGAAGAACTGCGCAGAAAGTGTCACAGTTTGCTGCGGTTTATGGGCGGGTGGCAACATTGGACCGTAGTTATTCAATGATGATTCGAATCGTAACGTAACTGTGAATGGTGAGCGATACCGTGAGATGATACCACACATTTTTTTTGCCCGAAATGCAAGAGCTTGACTTGCATGACATGTGGTTTCAACAAGACGGTGCCCCAAGCCACACAGTACGCGTAACAATGGACTTATTGAGAAGTGATTTCGGTGAACTTTTAATTTCACGTTCGAGACCAGTCAATTGGCCGCCTAGTTGGTGCAATTCGACTAAGCGGATGGACCATTTGAGTCGCAGTCACGGTCAACATTTGCATGAAATAATATTCAAACATTAAATTTGTTTAACCGTACTATCGATTCAAATAAAGATTTCATGCATTTTTCTGAATTTCATGTGTTTTTTTTTTTTGCAAAACTTTCCGACAGCTCTAAAATCACCCTTTATACGAATATAAATTCAAGTTGGGCCTCTAGGAATCGCTTGTAATCCGAACATAACTACGAATCGTTCGGTCTATATCATACTAATTTTGATCAATCTACCGTTCATACCTTTCCTGTAAAGAAAGTATTATACATCTAGTGTATATTTCGAGCAAATCAAATTTTTTTCCAGGTCTCTGGATAAGAGTACTCCATACGGGGTATAAAATCCAAAGGAAAAAGTAACTAAATCGAACCAATTCAAGCCAAAAAAAAAAAAAACTATAAATACGAATTTTACGAATAGGCCAGTCGCTGGTCTACTTCCCTGGGAGTACATGAAGATTACGTAATTATAAGCAAGAATATTTCAGCCTCTCGTTCCCTTGCCGGAAGAAGAATACCTATAAATGATTGGCACTTTGTAACCGCTGAAGCGTTTCATACATAGATATTTGTCATCAACATGATCACTTATACAGTTCTCAACGATTGAATTTTTTTCTTTAATATCCGTTGTAAATTCACAAAATATATTAAGGGTTGACAATGTAAGGGAAAATAGTGAAAACTATTTAATTAAGCATAGCCAATTCAGCTTATGAAGTAGCCCTTAATGCGCAATGCCTATTTTACCAGTGTGAAGCGCGCCACTAGTGGCAGTGGCACCAGGAGGCGATGTGTGCTTGTGAGTTGCAATGCATTGCCATCAAACGCCACCAACAGTTGTCGAATTAATTTGCAATTAGCACAGCAGGAATTTACGCGCTCACATTTTTTAACGAAGGGGGAAATTAAAAATAATTTCTTCAAAGAATATTAGTGTGTGGGAAAAATGTTTAGATATTTTCCTTTTGTTCTGGCTATTGATAGTGATTTTTATCGCTTTTTTAATATTTTTTTTGTTCTGCTTACATAGCAGTAATTTATTTCTGATTTGTTTACGAGCACTCTCACTGCTCGGTGGAATGTGTAAAAAAATAAAATAAAATTGACTGAATGACTTGGCAACAATATTTTGAATAGAAAATATTTCAAAATGTTGTTGTAGCGGCGCATGCTATTTTTAGTAGTTGCGTTAAGCGCATAAAAAAATTTACACAACGGTGGGAAGATCTCGATGTCACAAAAAAAAGATAAAATTAAGCTTTCTATATGGAAATTAATCAAGTAAATGATTTAGAATTAAAAAAATTTCGTTTGCTTATGTATGTGTGTATAAATGAAGAGATCAAAAAGGTTTCGTTAAAGTACTGTATAATCTTTCGTTTAATCGAAAGAATAAGCCAAATATTTTATTGACAAAATAGCAGATTCTTTAAAAAAAATTAAATTTTTTCCTCCACATTTACGGTCTCCAATTGTGCCCTGAAAAAAAAAAAAAACTTTCATCGATTATGGAAAAGCTTCCATTAAGTACCTGAAAATATTGGTCAGTAGCCCATGTAAAAATTTGAGACTAATCGGTTCAGCCGTTCCCGAGAAATCTTGGTTACCGAAAATCATAGGTTTGAGAAAAACGAGGTTAAAGTTTCAAAAGCGTTTTCAAATGCTGTGACGCGGCGTGCAGATATGCGAGTAACTTCCAAAATAACAGTCGGATCGACTTAAAGTTTTCAGAGTATTTACTTGAATATATGTACATTATGAGAATGAAATTAAAAAATCGGATTTTTGAAGATTCTAATTAGATGTAACCCCTTAACTTTGTATTTTTATATCTATTTTATTCTTAATTTATTTATTTTGATATAAAATTTATTTATCTACTGTATTTTTTTAATTGTATTTTTTTTTAATTTTATTTTTTTCCCAATTTTTTTATTTATTTTTTTTTAATTGTATTTTTTTTTCATTTTAATTTATTTTTTCTTAATATAATTAATTTTTTTTAATTTTATTTATTTGTTCAATTTTTTATTTTTATTTATTTGCTCAATTTTTAATTTTTTTTTTATGTTTTGAATTATTTCATTATTTATATGCCTTTATTTGACTTTGTCTAATTTCTTTTATTTTTATTTATTTATTTATTTATTTTATTTTTATTTGTATTTTTTAATTATTTATTAATTTCTTCATCTTTGATTTACTATCTATTTACTTATTTATTTTTTTAATTTTATTATTTATTCACTTTTTTATTTTTTTATTTTTATTTAATTTTTTTAGTTATTTTTTTTTAGTAATTTTTGATTTAATTAATTTTTTTCATTTATTCTTTTTTTCTTTTCAATTGCACTTGCAACATATGTTATTTTTAATGATCAACCCTCCAGGCATCGAAAGCCAATTGTGTTTGAAAATTCAATGTTTAAAAAAACGAAAACATCTGGCAACTGAATTAAAGATATTCAGAAATACACCTACGTATACTATATATATGTATAAAAAAAAATATTTTTATGATACTAAAAATATAATCTTTTGAAGAGTTGGGAGAAAGTTTATTTTTCTAATATAAAAAAAAAAACTAAATTTTCAGTAAATATCTGTGGAATTTTTATCTTTTCATTGAATCTCATAATCAGTTATATTTTATTGCCACTGATTCACTCTAGATTTCTGTTCTAAAACTCACTACAATTTGAGGATATTCCGCACTGTTTCAGCAAGTAAAAAAGATTTATTTATTTTCTATATTTTTACAAATTTACAAAAATAAAAATATTCATTTTTAAAATATAAAATACATTGAGCACGAAAACAAACACAATATTTGTTGTAAAATATTTGGAAAACGAAATGAGGTCATTTCGTAGAGATTTATTAATTTTACGAATTTATGTGTTTTTTTTGTGAACATTAAATTGAACAGACAAAAATTTTACTATTGTATATTTTTCAAAATATATCAGGAATATATTTTCTATTAGTACGAATTTTATATATTTTTTATATACACTTTCTCATCGACGATATAATTCAATTTACCAGAAAGTGGCTTATGATCATTAGAAATTGCTGTTCACTTTTTTTCCCATGGCTTGCTGTTCGCAGGTTTCTTTGTGGTCTGCGAACAGCCTTTAGTTGTTGACAATGATAACACAACTAAATACAAAAAAAAAAAAATAAACACTTATTAGTGAATTAGTGTTTTATTTCTCTAATAGATCCCAAAGGTGTTTTCGACTACGCGCAACCATTGCCGTTACAAATGACCCCGCGAACGCTTAAGGTTTATTTGTATTTTAATTTTTTATTTGCATTTTACATACATAGAAATTTTTATTGATTTTTTAGCTTTTTTTTCAAATTTTGATATTTTTTTTTTAGTTTTTTGTTATTTTTTCTTATTTTTTTTTTAATTTTTATATTTTTTTGTTTCTTTTTATTTTTTTCTTAATTTTTTTAATTTTTTTTTGTTATTTTATTATTCTTTGTTAATTTTCTTTTTATTTTTTATTTATTTTCAATTTTTTAATGCTTATTTCATTTATTAATTTTTTAACCTGCTATTTTTTACTTTTCTAATGTTTTTTCTTAGTTCGATTAGCTTGCTAATTTTATTATAATATTATTATTATTTTTTTTCTGATTTTTTTAAATTTTTTTTTAAATTATTAAATTTTCGTAATTTTTTGTTTGTTTATTATTTATTTTTTCCCCTTAATTTTTTTTTATTTGAATTTTTAATTTTTTTATTTTAAATTTTAAACTTGTTTTTATATATTATATTTATAATTTTTTTATTATATATTTTTAATTTTTAAATTTATTTATTTTTTGTTTTTGTATTTCTAATTTTTTTGTTTATTATTTATTTTTTGTTTTGTATTTTTAATTTTTTTGTTTATTATTTATTTTTTCCCCTTAATTTTTTTTATTT